AATCTTCTTAAATCAGTCAGTGTATTTCAAGGATGTGTTGACCTGAGAATAGAAACCAGGAGATGTGCTACGCTGGGGAAGGATTTCGCTCTTGATTCCATAGGAGAAGAAAAGCTATGGATACCACCAAAATTAGTAAAGATTAGGTTTGAAAAGAGAAACCTCTTGAGAAAGAAATAAGAACTCATCCACAGAGGTGACAATCATACAGGTGGTAAGAAGAAAGTCGAGATGCCTTGGACATCTAGATGGCTAAAGAAGAAAAGACAGCTATCTAGAAAGGATCACCAAGCAAAGAGAAATTTGACTTGTGGTACCGTATCCTCTGAAGGGTAAAATTTCATTACCTCAACACACACACACACACACACACACTTCAGTATAATAAGCTTAAATCACTTAAAAATCATTGGAGTTGGACAATGGCTATCCTTCTCTAAACCCAAGCATGTTGTTATAAGAAAAATTCAGTGTTTCTGTCTCATATCAGGATCCATCTGGTATGGGACAGAAAGAAGAAAGAATTTAGGCAAAATTTTACTTCTTCCCATACCTATTTTTGTCTCTATAGTATCTTTTTCTTGAATATATGTCTACATGAATAATGCTTGAGTTTTCCACAATGAACAATAAATTTTCCTGCAGTAATCTTTGAAATTTCTAGGAAGAAGATGGGGCCCAACAACAACCATTCCACCTAGTAGATAATGATGTCATAAAGCTGATATTACCACTTTAAGATTGGTTTTCGGTTACAGGCTGCTCAAGATGATTCCAACTTGGTTAGCTGAGATGGTGCACCTTTTTGTAATGATCTGGCTAGAACTTCAAATTAGAACTTCAAAAAAACCCTACCGACTACTCAGAGACTATTTGCAATTATACCAGACAGTAATCTTGAAACTTAACCATCATTTTAGTTTTTACAGGATTCCATAGAAATAAATCGCCCCCATGACAGTTTGAAGTAATTATAGAAGACCAAGTACCCTCTCCCAACAAAGTTTGTACTCTGGGTTAGGAGATCTATAAAAGTATTAGGGGTGATTATAAGTAGTCTAGGGTTTGGGATTGGGGGTGAAAATTAAGTAGGCTCAGTGATCTCTTTTCAAAAAAAAAAAGGGAGACTGGATGGGATAATAGGTAAAATAATAATAGTGAGTAATATAACACTTGTGAGCTATTATTTATAGACAGTTTACATTGTTATAAATTCTTGTATAATGATACAAATTCAATTATATTTGTTATATTCAATATGGCCCTATTTCTGTTTACAATATTTGTTCAACTGTGCAAAGTTATTTTGTCATGTTGTATGCATACTGTTTCTATCTCTGCTTAAGATATTTTGTATCATATTTCACTATACATTTCTACCTCTGATCAAGATACTTATATATATTGTTTACATTTTGAGGTAATTTTTCTCATTTTCTGCAGTTGTTTATTTTAATATGAAATCTTGGTGTTTAAACTATAGGTATTAAGAATTATAGGAGCTTTTTTTCTTATTGGCAAAACTGGCCTTTGGTCAAAGAACTGCCCCTGCCTCCACCACTGATGAAATGAGCAGTGTCTGATGGAAGTGGGTCTTGTATTTATCTGTTGCTTTCATTGGTTAATTAATAAAGAAAACTTCTTGGCCCTAATAGAACAGAAAATTAGGTAGGCGGAGTAGACAGAAGAGAATGCTGGGAGAAAGAAGCCAAGTCAGAAGTCGCCATGATTCTCCCACCCAACACAGCCTCAGGTTAAGATCTTCCCTGGCAAGCTACCTCATGGGCTACACAGATTATTAGAAATGGGTTAGATCAATATGTAAGAGCTAGCCAATAAGAGGCTGGAACTAATGGGCCAGGCAGTGTTTAAAAGAATACAGTTTCTGTGTAATTATTTCGGGTAAAGCTAGCCGTGCGGGAGCCGAGGTGGCGGGACGCAGCCCCGCCACTTGTCCAGACAGGACAAGCAGGATACAAACAAAAAGACTGTCAAACCTTATCAAGACAGGATAAGACAATTTTTCAATTTTTTTCCTGCCTCTGAAAATGCTCTGTCAGTTACTCTAGGCCTTAGCCAAAGTTGGTTGCCCCAACATTGCAAATGAGACTTTGGGTGATTGTCCAGGTAGCAGATTGTCTCTATTATTTACTGCACCTTTTGGAAGTTGTTTGATTGCACTTCCTGTTTACTTAAGTAATATCATTTCCCTTCTCAGGTCTTTGATCAGGTTGAAGACTCGACAGTTATAGTTACTTTCCTCCCAAGCCAAGCCATTTCTAATATAAGACTTATACTCCCTAGGATGGATAACTAGTGAAACATTGAGTATATGCTTCTTGCTTGATATTGTTTATGCTGGTTGTGATTCTAATTTTTATACTTGATATTTGTTCTTACTGTATATAGCTTTGTATTGGGTTTATAACTCTCTTATTTAGACAGATATTTAGAAACAGTTTAACCTGCCTTTCTCAAGTACTGCAAGGTACCTGGAATTTAGAGTATTTGTCTATGCTTATCTTACAGTTCCTATTATATAAATCCAGAGGATAAAAGGACTGTTAAAGTTGTACAACTCTTAACTGTTTTAGTTGCTTTTTTCATTGCTGTGACCACAAAATGAGGTTAAATTCTGCAGCCTGAACAGAAGTTTAGGGCTAACTTTGTAGTCACAAGCACTTTAGCACAGACTAAGGTGGGCTTCTCTGCATCAGTGAGACTGCAAAGGCAAAACCACTGGAGCTGCAGATGTGGCCCAGTGGTAAAGCTCTTCCTTAGGGAACATTTAAGGACTTTTTCTTTCTTTTTAAAAAAAAAAACGTCAGCCCCAAAGTGAACAAACATAAAAGAAATGGCTACATGCTCCACAGGGTTTACTCCCCTAAACCCAGAGAGGTTTCTTTGAAATGTATATGTTGTGAAAAATGCACATTTGTGTGTATGGGAGTATGTACACATGTGGTCATGTCAAAGATTCATGTAAAATGTCTTCTTATTGGCCTAAGTTTTTGAAATAGGGTCTCCGGCTAAACCTGCAACTCACTGCTCTGTTAAGACCTCAGGCCAGCACGACCCCAGATCCTCCTGTCTGTCAGGCTAAGATCATAGGCATTGGCCACCATACCCCCTTCCTCACTTCAGGCTCATTTTTATGTGGATTACTTGTGGGATCTGAACTCGGGTCCTTATGCTTGCATGCCCAACACTGCACTAACTGGGCCATCTATCTCCTCAGTCCACGTTATTTCTTCTTTCCATTTGACCACTTTAAATGCTATATGGCAAAGAGATGTCATGTATTCCTTTATATAAATAGCAAAGAAATGTATTTATTTAAAACATTTACTTGACAGGTGTAGTGACACATGCCTGTAATCCCAGGACTTAGGAGGGAGAGGCAGAAGGATCTCTAAGTTTGAGGCCAGGCTGGTCTACACAGTAAGACTGAAGGGACACTTGCTCACTAGAGCATGTGGTTCTGGCAGGCCTTGCTACAACTATTGAGGAGTCCAGGAATAGAATATAGAAATAAAGGGTCCAGTCCAGGAACATAGAAATATAAAGTTGTAAGCACACATTTTGGAAGAAAAAAAAATAAAGTTGGCAGCCACTGTTAACCTTTTACAACACTTTCTGCCTTAAAAGCAGACATCCTGGCAGCCACTGTGTACAGAGGTAAACCTTTTAACAATTATCTCCTGCTTTCCAGCTTCCCAGCTAGGCAGGTACTGGGGACAAAGGTTAGCTTCTAACTGTTGCCTCTATGGGACCCTCTGCTTGCATTCCCTTAATTTTTAACTGTCCGTTACGTGACTCTACTCTCTGCCTTGCATTCTTCAGGGACAGTGAAAAGCGGCTGTGTCAGCCACAGGCTTTCGCAAACATGCTAAGTTAACATTCTAACATCCTGTAACCAAAAGTTGTAAAACTTAAAATATAATGTGACTTTAAGTCTGACCTCAAGTTTGTAAAAACTCTTTGACCCACACCTGGTACTTGATTTTACTATAAGAGGAGGCTCAAAATCAGCCCCCATTGCCAGAGCTATAGAAGCCCAGTCTCTGGCTGTGGTCATAGCTATAGCTGATAAGTTTTGTGTGCCCCATAGTGTTTTACCCCCCTGGTTTAATAGACTTGGGTGATTTGTGCCCCCATCACTGCATGCCCCTGGATCCATCAGGTCTATTCCCTTATTTGACTACTTCTTTCTCCTGAGGCTAACTACCAAAGCCCAGCAATCAGAAGCCCCCTTTGGCTCACCTAATTAACATGCCCAATTAAAATTAAACAACTCATCCTAACACGGAGTTTCCCCTTTACCTTTATAACCGCCATCTGTCCGTGTGCCGCGTCTCTCTCCTTTCTATCCAGAGGTGTCCTTTGTCCTTCCAGGATAAATATACCCACCGCCTCTCCTTGGTCCCCTTCTCCCTCATCTTCCAGCTCCTTTACCACCCCATCCTAGCACATTTTAACACACGTCTCCTCTCCCCTCCCCAACCCCCCCCCCCTTTTTTTTTTGAGACAGGGTTTCTCTGCAGCTTTGGAGCCTGTCCTAGAACTAGCTCTGTAGACCAGATCTGTGTGCCGCAGCCTCCCAAGTCCTGGGATTAAAGGCATGTGCCACCACTACCCGGTCCCCTTTTCTCTTCTTCAGAATGATGCCTGCAAGATCACTTGCTGCTGTTTTCAGAGTCAGAAAGTAGTCACTTTAACTTTTCCTTCCTGCTTAATGAATGATCTCTCCGTGCAATCAGGTTTGGGTGTGGCTTGTGCAGGAGTCCCCTTCAAAGACCCCGTCTTCAACCAACAACAAAAGTAAACAAAAAAACACATGCCACAGTATGGATGTTAGAGGACAATTTCTGGGAGAAGAGGAACCATGTGAGTCTAGGGATTGAAACAGATCATCAAAGAAATTTAGAACAATTCACATAAAAGGGTAATGCAGCCATTGGTAAAAATTCAAAACCTAAGACACACAATCTATACCTTACCATGGGCTGTACCCAGTAGGAGCTCGGGTGCCAGGTAATCTGGAGTTCCCAGAATTCGTCCATCATCTACTGGGGCTGCCCCTCTCCTCACACTCTTTGGAGTTCTGTATGATGTTCCTAGCTTGACTTGATTTGGAGTCTGCTAATTCAAGAAGAGTTCAAGATACAACAAATATAAATTAATATTTTAGATGAACAAAAGCATTGAAGCAACAACAAAAAGCCTCTAGGTATAAATGACACATTCAAAACCTTGATTATGGATTTGAAAATAGACTCATTGGTTACAATTATGAAAAGGTTCATATATAATAAAATTCAATAGTTCAGATAACATCAATCATTTCAATAAGATGACTTTAAAAGAAAAACATTTAAAAATACCCAAGAACAAAATTTTCTTTTCTTTTGAGATAGTTTTACTATATAGCCCATACTGATTTCAAACCTATGATCCCACTGCTTTAGCTTTTAAGAGTTAAGATTATGGGATTAGAGCAAGGTATGCTGTCTAAGAAAAGTATCTTGACAGTCTGGATTGATACAAAGAATAAGAAAAGCCATGGCTGACAAATGATTGCATTATTAAGACAACCTGTAAGAGCTGTCTCACAACAAGTGTCTGTCACCTCTTGTACTAAGTCATACTTAAAAGGCTTTAAGGTAATTTGTGCTTAACAACAACCTTTTAAAAGAAGTATGAGGGGCTTTTATCCCTTACAGGGAGTTGGAAAATAGGGTTTGAGGTTAAGGGACATCTAAGCCCTTAAAGGAAAACATAAATCTTATAACCTAAATTTGGAGCTTAATCTTTTTATAATGACTCTTTAAGGGAATAAAAGAAACAGAATTTTTGGCTTATACAAGTATAGAGAATAAAGACAAATAATCGAAATATATATGTTGGAGGATAAGATAGATTTCAATTTCATATTTCAAAGTACTTGTTAAGGTCAGTGAAAATATGTATTTTCTTAGAAAAGCAGAGTTATTCAACTGTTATGATTAATACACATTACTATCAGCTTTAAATTTATATGTGAAAAATCTCCAGCAATCCATTGGAGATCAAAATTGTATAATTCATAGCATATAACCTAGCTGAGAGGCAAGAGTGTGCTTTAGGTTGTTATCTAACATCCAAACAGTGCTAGCAAACTGTAGTATACCTGATGTGACACACAGGATCTTCCTCTCTGAGTCGGGGTCACAGCCATGGGATAGGAGCCACTGTAATCACATGAAAGGTCCATAGCATCTAAAGAAGTTATGCTCATCTTGGATGGTTCTGAATTATTGGATGCATTAATATGGCTGTTAAAGCTTCTAAAACCTACAACATTTGTTTTGCAGGTTAGCGGTTTTAATGCCTGTAAAGAGGGAGCTAACATTTGGCTATTATCTTGGATAGAAGTATGACAATCATCTTTTGACAAGGAGTTTTCTTGGCAGTTTGATAATACAAGTGGATCTTCAATATTTGATTCTTCAAAACAGCATTCTTTGTTGCTTTTATCAGGTTCTGAGGTCTGAATTTCAAGTGAACTTTCCATCATGGAAATTTCAGGAAAAGATGAATCTGAATCCACAGTTTTCGGAGCTCTCTCCTCAACAGCACACGCAGAATGAGAACTCAGGCAGTCCTTCTTAGTAGTCATCTCACAGTCTTCATCGAGTTCAGACATAAGGTTTTTTGCTATCATTGGTATATGTAATTCTTCAGGGGTTTGTTTGTCAGTAAAATAGGTGACAATGTTCTCCTTATTAGCACAGTCATTTTGCTGACTTCTGTCTACTGAGAGCCTAAGATTCTGAACTTCAGTAGTTAGGCCCGTAGTTTGATTTGTATAGCAACCTATCATTCCCTTGCTATGCTTACACTCTATACAGTTTTTTTTACTTTGTATAATTTCCCGACAAGGACTAGAGTCAACCAATTGGAAATTTCTTTTAAAATTTCTTTTATCAAGGTGTTCTTCAGACATACCACTAGAATTTCTAGCCCACTGATTAGACTGAAGGAAACCAGGCTGTCTCATATCAATGGTCATGTTCTCATTATTTACATTCAGTTCTCTCCCTTCCCAAGAGACTTCCTCAGAAAAGCATTTTCTAGGGAGGTTCACGTGTTGGCTTCTCGTGGCAGGGATGGTACTGCTGTCATGAATGGGAGAAAGTGCTAATTCAAGATCTGTTTTTGTCTCAATGGCATTTGTAGATTTTGTATAAGGTATTTCCACTGCATGCCAGCTCATTGTACAGTCCGATGACTTGGTACTTTCCTAAGAGGAGGAAAATGCTACTTTTAGTTATGGACTTTAGATTCTTTAAAAACTTCTATTTTATGACCACTTACATGAGATCAGTAATCTAATGAACTAGAATGCTTCCTTTCTTGTTTTTAAATGAGACAGAAGAATTGTAATAAGAGAACTAAAAACAATTATAGCATAAGCTTACTATACTACATTACTTATAATTACATTGTTTCAAATGAAACACTGGTCAAAACTTAAATAAATTATGTACTAATACTTATTTTGATGCCATATTACATAGTAAATACAAAAAATTCATAGAATATATTTAGGCAAATTTAAGGTAGGGCTACATTATAAATAGAGTAATTATCTGTTTTACAGTAGAGGTGATGGAGGAAGGTCATTGGTTAAATAAAGAAACTGCCTTGGCCCTCATAGGACAGTTAGATAGGCGGAGTAAACAGAACAGAATGCTGGGAGGAAGAGGAAGTGAGCTCAGACACCATGCTCCCCTCTCCCGGGCAGACGTGATGAAGCTCCGACCCAGGATGGACATAGGCTAGAATCTTCCCGGTAAGCGCACCTCAGTGCTACACACATTAATAGAAATGGGCCAGGCAGTGTTTAAATGAATACAGTTTGTGTGTTGTTATTTTGGGGTATAAGCTAGCCAGGCGACCAGGAGCCGGGCTGTGGGAAGAGGCCTGCAGCTCCTACTACATAGAGGTATGGTGATACTGTTTAAAACAACACAAAATGCAAGAGTTTAAAATCTAGTTCACTGAAAAATTAGAGGGCAAACATAGCTATTGTAAACATGTATCCCTATGTAAACAATAAAATAAAAACAGAAATACCTAGGAACTAAAATCCATTGTTAGGGATATAACTCAGTGGCAGAGTACTTTCTAACAAACAAAAATAAATAAACTAATAAAAGAAAATCATCAAGAAGATCAATTGACACTGTATCAAAACAAACGCTTTTCTTTCTTTTCTCTTTTTGAGATAGCTTCATGTACCTCAGGCTTGACTTAAACTGTGTAGCAAGAAGATAAGCCTGTGCTGGAATTACAGGTATGGTCACCAGGCCCAGTTTGTATAATGCTGGAGATTAATCCCATAGTGTTGTGCCTGCTAGGCACGCACTGTACCAACTGAGGTATGTCCCTCTGAGATAGAAGCCTTTCTTGAAGACCGAATTGAAATATCTGAGGATACGTGTGTCAGAACTTGGTACCGACACCGGTACACAGTGACTGGGGTTTTTTAAAGGACACTTTCATAGCATGAATCTTCAGCAATCTCTAGTACTGCCTTTTCTTTTTTTGTTAACCTCTTGGTATTACTGGGGACTGAACCCAGAATCATATGAAACAAGTACTCTACCAAAGATACAGCCCACGCTTTGATGGAGGAAGGTCATTGGCTAATAAAGGAACTGCCCTGGCCCATTTTATTGGTTAGGACATAGGTAGGTGGAGTAATCAGACCAGAACTCTGGGAGGAACAGGAAGTGAGCTCAGAGACTCAACAGCTCTCCTCTGGGGAGCAGACGCCTGAGAGAGACGCCATGCCCCGCTCCCGGGATGAAGCTCCGACCCAGGATGGACTAGGCTAGAATCTCCCCGGTAAGCGCACCTTGGGGTGCTACACACAGATGATTAGAAATGGGCTAAATTAATATGTGAGAATTAGCCTAGAAGAGATTGGGCCAAGCAGTGTTTAAAAGAATACAGTGTCCATGTAATTATTTCGGGCATAAGCTAGCCAGGCAGGCGGCCAGGGGTGCTGAGAACGCAGCCCCGCCGTCCTTATTACTACAGTTGGCACCCAGACGTGTGGACAACTAAACCCACTTAAAAAACCTGAGAAGGCTTAAAAATAAGGGAGAGAGAGTTTAACACAGATTTTTGCTGTTTGTTGGTGGCGTGCTGTAGAGAGATTTCCTGATTCGGCAACAGTAGCAGAAAAAACGCTGTGTCATTTTAAAGCGCGACTTCCTGGGGCTGTGCTGCCATTGCTATCTCTGTCTGGCTCCTGCGGGAGACAGAGCTTTTGAATAGAGCATTTGGAGTAAAGTGCTACGATTTGTTTGATGGCAACTAGACTCGCTGTGTTCTCGGGTCTGCTCTGCTTGTTAGAGGCAAGCAAGCGCTTTCATCTAAGAGAGGCTTCCTGACTCAGCTTCAGGTGCAAAACCCTGCAGCTCATTAAGAGATCCTGCCACGAAACACTTAAACAGTGTTGACGAAAAGCTGAACGCATGCTTTTCGGTTTTCAGCCATAGCAGGAAAAAAGCTGCGCCATTTAAAAATGCCGGCTTTCTGGGCTGTCCTGCCAGGACAAACTCTGACTGTTTGAGGCAGGAGGGCCGGCGACACAGAGAGGACTTGAGTGTTGTCTGTTGTAGCTCACTTGCTGGCAGGGACCTTGAAATGCCATACAGTTGTTGCAGTAAACATGGCTACAGCCTGTATATCCGCCATGAGGCTGGAAAGCTAAGGAATGGACTGGATCTAGCTGGCAAAGCCACGCCTTTAGTCCTACTGAGATTGCTTGGTAAATTAAAGATTCATGTGGTCAGAAAAAGAGAGATATACAGTAAAGAGAGATTCAAAGACAGAGAAAATTTCTGAATGGTTTAAAGTGTGTTAAAAATATATGCAGACTAAAAGTTGAAGTTCTTAAAGTAAAAAACAAAAAAAGGAAGAGAGTTGTTGTGTGTGGTAGCACACGCCTTTAATCCCAGTGCCTAGAAGGCAGAGACAAACAGATCTCTGTGAGTTCAAGGTGTAGTAGCTTACACCTTTAATCCCAATGCCTGGGAGGCAGAGACAGGCGGATCTCTGAGAGTTCAAAGACAGCCTGGTCTACAGAGTTACTTCAGGTCAAAGATACAGAGAACCTGTCTCAAAAAGCAAAGAGTTAAAAGTAAAAATAAACAAAATAGAGATTAAAACAAAGCTGCTCAAAGATGGAAAATACACAGAGAATCTTGATACTGTATGCTATTATGCTCTCTTTAAATTATTTAAACGCTGAGGAAGGAGCAACAGATGCTAAAAGATATTTATTTATAAATGCTGCTGAACTAATCCAACATAGATATTTTGAAAATGCCTTGAATTTGAAATTTGGATCTAAGGACATGATACTTTGGAAAGGAGTTTCTTATTTTGTTTTCACAGAGGATGAGATGCTGTTCATTTCTTCTATTCCAATTTGGTATGATGGACCACGCCCTCCTGAAGGGTTGGTGTGAACGCCTTCAAAAAAATTGCTTCGCTCAACTGCCAACTGAGATGAAACTAGCACACAGGTTATACCATGAAAGACCTAATTAACGACGCCCCCATTCAGCAGGAAGCAGTTTGGAGAGAAAAAACTGCGCCCATGTTCCCAAATATGGTTTATAAACGTTCTTTTACATTTAAAGGGGGATATGATATAGATATGAATAATTTACATTAGTCTAGATTTTGCTTTATTGATAGAGATTTAAGGTCACTTTTGTTATATATATAAGTGTTTCTGATTTTGATTAAGGTATTGTGATTGTGTAGTTCATTTAAATATGTACTGTATAATTAAGAAATATAGGTTGTTAATGGATAATCATTGATAATAGTAAAGCTTGTAGTCATGTTAGTTAGATTTTCTAGATATATAGAAATATATTTTAGATAGGCATTCTTCATATTTTTCAAAGATTATAGAATATGGCATTTTAAATGTTTTAATAACTTAGGACTTTTCATGACAATGAGACACTCTGCTCCTGGCAGCACCAATCTACTTCAAGAGGAAGATGGGCATTGAAGAGGCACCTTATGGAGTTTGATAGCCATTTGGGCAAGAAACTGCTCTTGCCTGGACTATTGCATAAACTGGACACAGAGAACCCGCAGAGAGAGGACTGCTGAACTTGCCTAAGGTGAGATGATCTTTCGGGGTTCCTGATTCATGAAACAGTCTGCGAGACATTCTGCAGGACACAACAGATAGTGACTGAGCTGACTTTGAATTTTCCTGCTTTATGGAAATGTCTGCTGGATACCATGGGCCTGAAGGCTGAAGATGGATGCCCCAACGATACAAAAGAACTTTGGGTGACTGTCCAGGCAGCGAGATGTCTCTGTCATTTCTAGAGTTTTAAAAGTTGCTTTTTTCTTGTTTGCTTAGGTAGTATTGTATCTTTCTGGAGTCTTTGATGGAGTTAAGAATAATTAGTTATAGTTATAGTTTTCCTTAGTTATGATAAAGATTATTGTAACTTTTACTTGATAACTGTTTTGTTATATGTAATTTTGCTATGTTAAAGCCTTTTTTTTTTGTTTAAACCGAAAAAGGGGAAATGATGGAGGAAGGTCATTGGCTAATAAAGGAACTGCCCTGGCCCATTTTATTGGTTAGGACATAGGTAGGTGGAGTAATCAGACCAGAACTCTGGGAGGAACAGGAAGTGAGCTCAGAGACTCAACAGCTCTCCTCTGGGGAGCAGACGCCTGAGAGAGACGCCATGTCCCGCTCCCGGGATGAAGCTCCGACCCAGGATGGACTAGGCTAGAATCTCCCCGGTAAGCGCACCTTGGGGTGCTACACACAGATGATTAGAAATGGGCTAAATTAATATGTGAGAATTAGCCTAGAAGAGATTGGGCCAAGCAGTGTTTAAAAGAATACAGTGTCCATGTAATTATTTCGGGCATAAGCTAGCCAGGCAGGCGGCCGGGGGTGCTGAGAACGCAGCCCCGCCGCCCTTATTACTACAACCCTTAACAGTGGGTATTTTTATGCATAAACACCCCATCCTTAACAGTGTGTGTTTTTATGTATAAACATCAAACTTTAATAACGACCATTAATTTACGTAGTAGTGAGGAATACTTAGTTCTAAGTAAAAGGAAGATTTCTGAATTACAATTCACTGGTTTTCTGGTATAGAAATGGATGATCCTAGGGATCAGCATAGTATCACACTCATATGATCATAACTGTCTACTACATACTACTATATT